GTTAAACTTCGCAATTAAAATCCGCTAAATATTCTCCTACGACCTTCCAAACAACAACTTAACATCTAGAGCTCCATGTGGTTGTTTGAAAGTTCGCGTGACGGTGGGGGAGGGCTCACTGAAGTTGGGGTAGCGCCAATGTTCCGTCCTCTGTCGTTATTTTTCGGTCGTTTTATTTTTTGCGCTCTAGCCTTGTCAAACCACCCCGCCACTTCTGCACATGCTCCGCGCTTGCGTACCATTGCATAATTGACGGGGAAAAGCTAAATTTCAAGAAAAATTCCCGAACATTGCCTTTAAGGTGTGTATGCCCGCATTGTGTACAAGCTCGGGCCTAGCCTCTCGCGAATTGAGGTAATTAGATTTTTTCGCTCTCCTCCAATTTTACTCATTGCTTCAGTTCGAACAAATCTATTCGATTTGTATATAGTTTGTGGAGTTACTGCACGTTAACTGCAGAAAGAAATCAAAACAGAATCATCTCTTGGTCCTGTCGGTACCCACGCCAAGCAGATGTGTCCGACTATTATTACTGAGATAGGTACAGAAAGCGCCAAATACATGGAATTTCCTAAATTATTGTAGAGCACCGATCCTAAGAAAAATGCACTCTCCTATTCTCTCCACTTATCAGTAAAAGGGCGTTATCAATTCTCCTGTCTACGAAGCTGTTATTGCGAGATATTTGGCGAGTGATAGGGTAGTTTCGCTTGAACCAGGCAGATACGGAAGGATTTCCGCGCAGCTATTCAATTGACTGAGTGCCGAAATGGATCAGCGTCAGTGCGCTCGATTATGCTTTATGAATTTAAACTCGAGACCAGTGTGAGGAGGACAGTAATAAGATCAACACTGCATTCGGTCCAGGCACTACTGCTGATCGGACGGTAAGCCGATGGTTCAGCGCTTCCGCGAGGGCGATACGAGCTGCCAAGATCAACCTCACTTTGGGCGTTCAGTCATTTTTGACGAAGAAGCACTGCGCCATGAGCTGGATGTTCACCCGGGTTATACCACCAGGGAATTGGAGCAGAAGCTTTGGTACGGCTAAAGCGGAATTGTTCGCCATCTCCATTTGATGGGCTATGAAAGTGATGTCTCGTTGGATACCGCATGCACTCACCGACCACGATCGAGCAGCACGCGTGAGTATCTGCGAAAGTCTTCTCCTACGACCGAACAGGCAGGACTTCTTGAAGTCGATCATAACTGGAGATGAGTCCTGGGTCCACTATGAGAACAACACGCGACACGCCTACTGGCTGCCTCGCGGCCAAGACCCACCAGCTCAGCCGAAACCCGAGCTCCATGCTCGGAAGATTATGCTATCCGTTTTTTGGGATTGGCAAGGCATGCTGTTTTGGGAAGTGCTCGATTACGAGGAGACAGTCACTGCCGAAGTCTACGTGGAGCAGCTCCGGAAACTGGCCGCAGCAGTGCGAGAGAAGCGTCCAAAACGGC